TTCAGAGGCTGGTTAGCCAATACTTAAAGAAGGACTGGCTGGGAATGAAAGCTGATGAACGAAGTGATTATAGGTAATTTAACAGTTGGATATCTCAAAATAGATGTCTTTATAATTTCCATTTGTGTAATTATTTTTCTTGACTATGAAACCCTGCTCTTCTCCTCTTACATGTTACTTTTCCCTTGCTATAGAGCTTTGCTAGTTAAAAATGAAGCTTTGTTTTCCCCTTTTTTGCTGAGATTAGTCTTAAATAGATGTTTATTGTTTGAATCATACAGGAAGATTGGAAAAACAAAATGGCAAGAGAGGGAAACAGCTGTAATTGGTCAACCTGTTTGGGTGGTAATGCTTGTATCTGCATATGTATTTTAGTTAATAGCTTTAAGGTTAGAGTGCTAAGTGTGTGGATTTCTTCATAGGAAAAGACAGCAACCAGGTTCTTTTTAGGAGGCCAATCTTCATGAGGATCCCATCTGACAGCAAGGAGGAGGCAAAGCAAGAAGCAGTTGTTTACAAAACTGAGTTTCATGAACATGAAAGGTGGATCATAACATAAAGGCAGAAATGACTCCGTTGCTGAAAGCCTCCCACCTTTGGATTAGACCTCCCAAATATTTTGAAAAAATGTTAAGATCCTTTATTTTAAATGTGTTCTTTGTATTCTGACAAGTTACATTTCAAACAGGAAGAGGTTGTTGATAAATTTGTGTTTTGAATTTGTACGTTCACACCCTGTGTGTCTTAAGAAGGAATAAACTTAAGTTTATTCCTAAGTGTAATAAAATGCTCCCACAGCACAGAGACCACTCCTACTTGTAGCTTGCACTTCACTCAGCAAGCCTTTCTTCTGCCTTCTGTGCCACCAGTTACACCCACTATGCCCACAGGTCTTCTCCAAACACCTGCCACCCCCTCCCTCCCTATCCGCAAGTTCTTGTGCTCTGCAGGTTCCAGCAATCCTTCCTCTCTCCCAGCTGCAGGGCAGGTCTTGTCCCCTTCTTCCCCTGCTCGCCCTGTTCCACCTTCTCCTTCTGACTTGGGCACTCCTGAGCTTTGGTGGTGAATTATTGAGGCCCTGCAAAGCTCACTCCAGACCTATGGTTCTTGTCTTTGGCCTAGTATGAATCTTGAAGGAACTACAGGTAGCTAAGGCAAAACAGTCTGTAACTATTTGCATGATTGCAAGTTGCCTAAAGCCACAAAAATCCATGATTTTCTCAAAAATTGTCAACATCTGGTCTGGCTTTGGCTGCTGGGTTCTGGAGGGTCTGTTCTGTGGCAGGAACAGCTTCAACTGAAAGTGTTTGCCAAAAAATTGAATCACAAAACAGGAGAAGAAGGGAAATTTTTTGTGTTTTCTACAACTTGAGTTCAAGTTTTTCTCAAAAGACCAGATATTTGTTAGGTCAGCATGAAGGATTATGCTTTAGCTTTGTTTTTAGAAGCAATCCTTTGAAGAATGTGTGCTGCTCTGATGTAAACCAAGGCATATTTTCAGTGTGGTGCCTGGCCTCTTTTCCTTCCTTCCCATAACCTTTCTGTGTTTCATTATTTCAGGAGCATGTACTCAGTTTGGAAATCACTTTTAGAAGGCACAATGCAAGTGGCCCAATCCCGACTCAATATCTGTGAGAACTATAAGAACTTAATTTCTGAACCAGCCAGGACTGTTCGGTGCTTTAAGGAACAGCAGTTGAAGAAGGTATTTGTGCTTTAACAAGTTCTTGAAAATATTTTGGCATTTTCATGAAGAAAAAATGGTTTCTAGAAATGTTGTGTGGCTCTTCTGAAGGATGTATGTACTGTTTAGTTGCTTCCTATGCATGTTGTTATGGCTTCACAGAATCACAGCATGATGGGGGTTGGAAGGGACCTCTGGAGATCATCCAGTCCAACCCCTGCCAGAGCAGGATCCCCTAGAGCAGATCCCACAGGAACACATCCAGGTGGGGTTGGAATGTCTCCAGAGAAGGAGACTCCACAGCCTCCCTGGGCAGCCTGTCCCAGGGCTCTGCCACCCTCACAGGCAAGAACTATTTTCTCCCATTCAGGTCAAACCTCCTGTGCTCCAGTTTGTGCCCATTGCCCCCTGTCCTGTCCCTGGGCACCCCTGAGCAGAGTCTGGCCCCACCTCCTGACCCCCTGGAGATATTTACAAGCCCTGATCAGATCCCCCCTCAGCCTCCTTTTCTCTCAGCTGAGCAGCCCCAGCTCTCCCAGCCTTTCCTCACAGGCAGATTCTCCCAGATGCACCTGATGATCTTTAAGGTCCCTCCCAACCTCGACCGTTCTGTGATTCTGTGACCTGTTTCCATAAGGCAGGAAGACACATTAAAAGTACACTGAGGTGTATTTCTGGCAAGCTCAGCACTCTTCATCTTACATTATTTGGTGTTTGTGTTCTGTGCATTTTGCTGGTGTGAGGAGAGAGTCTCCTGGCTGGAGTGAGCACAGTTGACAGAAAGTCACTTCTGCCCCTAACAAACATTTTTGGAAGTCTTCAGGAATGATCCTTTGAAATTCTTGTGGCTTGGATGAAGGAGAACACAA